GTCCCTCTATGAGCTGTACCCTTTGTCTCTGTCATTTTGAAGTATTCTTCTCACCTTGGTGCCCTTGAAGTTCCTCCCAGTCCTATTGCATATCTGTCATGAGACTCAGTGAGATTTAATAGCACTCTCATGTATCACCATGGTCTCCCTTCACCCCCTCCCAGTTGCATGGCTTACAAACTCCTGTGGCCAAGTTGTACAACTTTAGGAAAAAAATTGGTCTACAGCCTCCTCAGGTTAGTTCCTTTTCTGTTGTTCCATGTTTGGTGTGTTACCTAGCCCCTATCACAAAATGGTACAATGAGTGAGTGCTCTAGATATTATGGGTAGGATCTTCTGGCTTCTGAGCCAAGCCTGTTTCTTCTTTCCCCAGCTTCTGAACTCACCTTGAGTCTCCAATACCTCAGCTACTGCCTTGTTTTTATTCATTGTTCAGTGAGTTAGTTGCTGGGGGAGTCAATGGGATCATCCACTCACTTCACCATTTTGCCCCACCACAACTCATTAAATTTGATCTCATGACCCATTAGTAAATTATAAAAAAACACTGCCCTAGGAGAACTTGCTAGTTAAAGCAGCCTTGCTAGGTCCTTTAATTAAATGAGACATTATTATCAATCTGAATTGTTCTCTCACTCATTCAGATTCATCAATAAGTTTTATAAACTTGAAAGAAGATTAGGAGATTCTTTTTCTTCTTCTTTCATCACATCATGGTAACATGAAAGGAAATTTGCTTAAATTAATGATGGAAAAATAAGGTTATTCTATACAGTTTCATGTTTTCAGAATAATGTTAAGGTTATTCTTACCATGAAACCAGAAGGACTGGATGGTGCCCAGCTATCATTACTGAACACTTTTATGAAGGATTCTTTAGAGCAATCTTGATCAAAAAGGGGAAATGCAGAACAGAATTTCAAATTCTCATGGAATTCAGATTTTCTGGAGTTATAGAGGCTGGATAAACCCCTCAAACTATTGCCTTGAGATAATCTTCAAACTAAAAATATCCCCTGAAGTGTTCTTAAAATCAAACAATAGTTTAGCTTAATTAGTATAAAAGGTCTGCCTTGAACACAATGTTCTTTTAAGAGCCATCTACATGCATCAAATTGACAACAGCAACTCAAAAGATTAGATAGGAACCTATCTAGGGGCAGTGATTTTATGTTAGTGGGGGAGGGACAACTCAGAAAAGGAGGATGTGAACAGACCTATGCACACCCATGGTCATCACAGCACTATTCCCAATAGCAAAAAAGACGGAAACAACCTAAATGCCCATCAACAGAGGAATGGATCGTCCAACTATGGTACATACACATGATGGAATACTATACAATGTTAAAGAACAATGATGAATCTGGAAAACATCTCATAACATATATGAACCTAGAGGACATTATGCTGAGTGAAATTAGTTAATCATAAAAGAACAAATATATGATTAAATTATGGTAAAAAGGCATTTCACACAGAAAGAAATATTCTTTGATGGTTACCAGGGATGGGAGCGGAATGGATAGTGAACCATTAACAAGCGGGTTGCTAAGTGCTGTCTTGTCAGCTCTGGCTCACAGTGATGCTGTGTACAACAGAATCAAACATTGCCTGGTCCTGCGCCAGCCTCACAATTCTTGCTATACAAGGAGCCCATTGTTTCAGCCACTGTTTCGATCCATCTCGTTGAGGGCCTTCTGCTTTTTTGCTGACCCTCCACTTTACCAAGCATGATATCTTTCTCTAGAGAATGGTCCCTTCTGACAACATGACCAGAGTAGATGAGACGAAGATTGGCCATTCTCACTTCCAAGGAGCATTCTGGCTGCACTTCTTTCAGGACAGATTTGTTAGTTCTTCTGGCAGTGCATAGTACTTTCAGTATTCTTCACCAACACCACAGTTCAAAAGCATCAACTCTTCTTTGGTTTTCCTTATTCATTGTTCAGCTTTCACATGCATATGAGGCTATTGAAAATACCATGGCTTGTGTTAGGTGCACCTTAGTCTTCAAAATGACATCTTTGCTCTTCAGCACTTTAAAAAGGTCTTTTGCAGCAGATTTGCCCAGTGCAATACATCGTCTGATTTCTTGGTTGCTGCCTCCATCTGTGTTGATTGTGGAAACAAGTAATATGAAATCTTTGACAGTCTCAATCTTTTCTCCATTTATTGTGATGCTGCTTATTGGTCTAGTTTGTGAGGATTTTCATTTTCTGTATTTTGAGGTGTAATCTGTACTGTAGACTGTAGTCTTTAATCTTCATCAGTAAGTGCTTAAAGTCATCTTCACTCAGCAAGCAAGGTTTTGTCATCTCCACATCACAAGTTGTTAGTCCTCTTCCAATCCTGATGTTATGTTCTTCTTCATACAATTGAGCTGCTCAGATTATTTTCTTAGCATACAGAGTAAGTATGGTGAAAGGATACAACCTTGATACACTCCTTTCCTGTTTTTAAACCATGAGTATTCCTTTGTTATGTTTAAATAACAGCCTCCTGGTATATGTACAGGTTCCTCATGAGTACAGTTAAGTGTTCTGGAATTCCCATTCTTCTCAATGTTATCCATAATTTGTTATGATCCACACAATCAAATGCTTTTGCTTGTCAATAAAACACAAGTAAACATCTTTCTGGTATTCTTTGCTTTCAGCCAAGATCCATCTGGCATCAGCAATGATATCCCTCATTCTTCAGCCCCTTCTGAATCCGGTTTGTATTTCTAGAGTTCCCTGTTAATATAGTGCTGCAACCAGTTTTGAATTATCGTTAGCAAAATGTTACTTGCATGTGATATTAATAATATTGTTCAACAATTTCCACATTGTGTGGGATCACCTTTCTTTGGAATGGGTACAAATATGGATCTCTTTCAGTCAGTTGGCCAGGTAACTGTCTTCCAAGTTTCTTGGCATAGATGAGTAAGTGCCTTCAGCATGGCATCTGTTTGTTTAAACATCTCAGTGGGTATTCTGTCAATTCCTGAAGCCTTGTTTTTTGCAAATTGCTTCAGTGCAGCTTTGACTTCTTCCTTCCATACCATCAGTTCATGATCATATGCCACCCCCTGAAATGGATGAACATCTACTGATTCTTTTTGGTATTGTGACTCTGTATATTCCTTCCATCTTTTGAGTTTCTTGAATCAGTCAGTATTTTGCCCAGAACATTTTCAGTATTGCAACTCGAGGCTTGAATTTTTTCTTCAGTTCTTTCAGCTTGAGAAATACAGAGTGTGTTCTTCCATTTTGGTTTTCTAGCTCCAGGTCTTTGCACATTTCATTGTAACAATTGACTTTGTCTTCTCAAGGTGCTCTTTGAAATCTTCTGTTTAGCCTTTTATCATGTCATTTCTTCCATTTGCTTTAACTACTGTCTGTTCAAGAGCAAGTTTCAGAATCTCTTCTGACATCCATTTTGGTCTTTTCTTCCTTTCCTGTCTTTTTAATGACCTTTTCCTTTTTTCATGTATAGTGTTTTTGATACCATCCCACAATTCATCTGGTTTTCAATCATTGGGCTTCATTGCATCAAATCTGTTCTTCAGATGATCTCTAGATCCAGGTGGGATATTAACAAGGATATATTTTGGCTCTCATGGACTTGTTTTAATTGTCTTCAAGTTCAGAACTTGCATTTAGCAGTTGATGGTCTGTTCCACAGTCAGCTCCTGGCCTTGTTTTGGCTGAAGATAGTGAGCTTCACTATCTCCTCTTTCCACATATGTAGTCACTCTGATTCCTGTGTATTCCATCTGGTGAGGTCCACATGCATAGCCACTGTTTATGGTGTTGAAAAAAAGGCATTTGCAATGACTAAGTCGTTGGTCTTGCAAAATTCTATTCTGTGATCTCTGGTGTCATTTCTATCACTAAGGCTGTATTTTCCAAGTATTAGTGATTCTTCTTTGTTTCCAGCTTTTCCATTCCAATCAGCAGTAATAATCAACACATCTTAATTGACTATTTGGTCAATTTCAGACTGTAGAAGTTGATAAAAACCTTCATCTTTGGCTTTGGTAGTTGATGTATCAATTTGAATAATAGCAGTATTAACTGGTCTTCCTTGTAGATGTATGGATATTATCCTATCACAGACAGCATTCTTGAAACATTCTTTTTCACAGTTAAGTGATGCGTTTCTTCCTCAATTTGTTATTGCTGGCATAGTAGACCATTTGATTGCCTGATTCATAATGGCTAAAACCAGTCTATTTCAGCTCACTAATGCCTAGATCTTCATGTGTTCCATTTCATCTTTGACAACTTTCAGTTTTCCTGCATACATACTTTTTATATTCTATGTTCTGATTTTTAATGGATGTTTGCAGCTGTTTCTTCCCATTTTGAGTCATGCCACATCAGCAAATGGAGGTCCCGAAAGCTTTACTCCATCCACACCATTAAGGTTGACTCTATTCTGAGGAGGCAGCTCTTCCCCAGTCATGTTTTGATGCCTTCCAACCTGAGGAGCTCATATTCTGGTACTATATCAGGAATTGTTTTAGTGCTATTCATCAAGTTTTCCAGTAATATGTCAAGACAGTGTTTCACTGCTATTCATAAGGTTTTCACTGGCCAATTCTTTGAGAAGTGGATGGCCCCTTCCTTCTTTCAAGTCTGTCTTAGTATGAAGACACCACTAAAACCTGGTATTTGAAACATCGGAGGCTTAGCCTCCAGTCTCACAGCAACACACAAGCCACCACAGTATGACAAACTGACAGACAAGTGTCTAGAGGGTAGACACTTTAACTTGGGTGAAAGAGAAGGAAAAGAAAAAGAAAAGGAAAGTGAGAATGGTTGCACGTCATCAAAAGTATAATGAACATAACTGCCTTGTACATGTGAAACTGTTCAGTTGGTGTGTTTTGTGTGTATATTCTTAACAACAGCAATAAAATTTAAAAAGTAATGTTAAGGCATTAAGACTTCACAATGTAAACTGTAAACTAGATTATAGAATTTATATATGTATTTTTTGTGCTTTTACAGTTTTAATGTCAGATTCTGCTTAAAAGCTGATGGCAAAGGAGCACTTCCAAGGACACTTAGTAAGTTGTACTAAAGGAAAAGTATATAATTTTAGCGATGCTGCATGCACAGTACTTAAATAATGTTTTAGAATATTTAAATAGTTACTAAAATTATTGTTGTATTTTATTTGAATGTTCATGTTTAAAGATATTCAAAATTACACCATAACTACTTCCTTTATTTGGAAACTGTTAAGCCAATTCAGAAATAATTCTTTTATTTATTGGCATTCTGGGAACAAAATGACTGACTGAAAAATTTACCTTCAGAAAGCTAAGCAGTTACCGACGTGAGATAAATGAACTCTACGGAAAATAAGTATCATTTTTTATCAGGTATATACTGAGAACAATATATTTTCTATCTGAGTACTATCTCCTAAGTGCCCCTGGGTTATTTATATTGTTTGCCTACTGACCACTCCCAGCAATTTCAGGAGTAGAGGTAGGTCCTGTAGGAGGAAAAGGTGTTTTGACCACTAAATGCAGGAAACTCTTAACTCCATTCTTCCTTTCCTAAAAATGGTCATATGTGACCCTGAGAATAAAGTAGAGGTGTTCAATAATTGTTGCCAAACCCGGGCAAGATGGCGGACTAGGCAGAAAGACTGCACAGACCCTCTTCAACAGAGAAAAGGGAAACCAATTAACACAGACACAAAAGATAATCCTGGACCCCTGAACTTTGAAGGGAAGGATATAGAAGTGGACTAAACTCCAACTAACAGGAGAATTTGCGTGAAAATATCAAAAAAGGAGACAGACGGAGCTGCGGTCTGGCAGCGATCCTGAGCGATCCTGACGGCACAGACAGCTTGGAGATTCCCAAGTGGTGGTAGGACCTAAGAATTAACTTAGAAATCACCCTGCTAGCCAGGGACTGCACAGAGGACTGTGTACGGTGGCTGGGGAACAAACGGAGAAGGTGAAGAGAAAGGTGGGCTGAGCTGCGGACTTTTGTCGGTCCGGAGGGTGCCGCCATTTTGAAGGTTTAAAAAGCGGCTTGACTATTTTGTATATTTAAAGAGAGCGCTCTGGCAGATTCCTGGGGCTTAAGAACACGTTCTGCTTTCCAGCAACCCCAAGGACACTC